AAGGGTGAGCAATGCCTCCTGAAAAGGTAGCATTCTCAGAGTTAAGGGCCTAAATACTCCAAAATCCCTAGATCCTATCTGATCTTAGAAGATAAGCAAGGATCAACCTGGTTCGTACTCATGTAGGAGATCACCAATGAGTACATGTGCTGTTATTAACTCTTATTTCAGAGAGAGGAACTGGCAAAACTACTTCTGAGTATTTCTTGCTGCAGAAAACCTAAAAATGAACTATGTCACTATATTCTTGTGGGTTTTTTCGGGCTATAGGGCCATGTTCTAGAGGCATTTCTCCTGACGTTTCGCCTGCATCTATGGCAAGCATCCTCAGAGGTAGTGAGGTCTGTTGGAATTAGGACAATGGGTTATATATCTGTGGAATGGCTGGGGTGGGACAAACGTCTTAACACCTCTCAACAAAAGATTTTCCCAGGCTCAGGCAGGCCTTCAAATGCTAATGAAGGTGGTCAGTTGAAACATTCACACCTAGCTCTAGCAGAGAAGAGCTCTTTGCCCCACCCCAGCCATTCCACAGATATATAAACACATTGTCCTATTTCCAACAGACCTCACTACCTCTGAGGATGCTTGCCATAGATGCAGGCGAAACGTCAGGAGAAATGCCTCTAGAACATGGCCCTATAGCCCGAAAAAACCCACAAGAACCTAGTGATTCCAGCCATGAAAGCCTTCGACAATATATGTCACTATAAATTGACAAGCAGTTTGAAGGCACACATACATATAGTTGCAGCCTCTAGTTACATCTTTGCCTCTCCATGTAGCTAGTTGAGGAAGGTGGATGTTTTTTGTCAAGTAAGCAAAGTGACACATAGTAGCTTAATGTATATATTTATTTTGATACTGATGAATATTTCTAAATCGGTCGCTCCCTCGTTCAACATTTCAGGTGTTTTAAATGGATTGTTGTGAACCTTCAGGTGGTTTCCAATTTACAGGGTACCTAAGGCAACTCAATCATTATTTTTGAGGCTGAGAGTATGTGACTCATTTAAGATCACCCAGTGAGTTTTCATGACTGAGCAAGGATTTTTTACCTTGTTTTCCAGAGTAGTAATTCAAACCACTATGCCACAGTTTAATAAGGAGTGTGTGTAAGTGAGTAACTGGGTTTATTTTCCCATGAAGAACTGCCTGAGTTAGTATTAACCCTTTTGCCTTCGTTGCCTCATTAACAACAACAATGTTCCCTTCTGCTAAAAAGCAAGCTCAGCAAAAATAGCATCTTTGATTTTAAGCAATAGGCCTTACTGTCATATTTGCTTCTATCTAGTTTCAGTCATAGAGAAAAAAATGAATGAACAGTAATAAACAACTAACCTGCCCAGGCACTTTGCTTAGATCAGGAGGCCTCAAACTTTTAAAACTGAAGGCTGGTTCATGGTCCCATAGACTGTTGGGGTTTGGACTATAGTTTGAAAAAAGAAAACATGAGCAAATTCCCATGCACACAGCACATATCTTATTTGAAGTGCAAAAAACATGAAAGAACAATACAATATATTGTTGAAGGCTTTCATGGCCGGAATCACTGGGTTGTTGTAGGTTTTTTCGGGCTATATGGCCATGTTCTAGAGGCACTTTCTCCTGACGTTTTGCCTGCATCTATGGCAAGCATCCTCAGAGGTAGTGAGGATGCTGAGGATGCTTGCCATAGATGCAGGCAAAACGTCAGGAGAAAATGCCTCTAGAACATGGCCATATAGCCTGAAAAAACCTACAACAACCCAACAATACAATATTTAGCCAGCATAAACTTACCAGTATTTCAATGGGAAGTGTGGACCTTCTTTTGGCTGATGAGACAGTCAAGTTAATTAGGATTGTTGTTGTTGTGTGCCTTCAAGTTGTTTCAGATTTACAGCAATGCTAAGTCTAAGGAGGGTAAATGACCTTGGAGAGGTGCATCCACTCCACGGGCCTAAGTTTGGGGACCCCTGGTTTACAATATCAAATTTGGCATATCCCTCACACTTTAAACCAGGGGTCCTCAAACTAAGGCCCGTGGGCCGGATATGGCCCTCCAAGGTCATTTACCTGGCCCTCGCTCAAGGTCAACCTAAGTCTGAAACAACTTGAAAGCACACAACAACGATAACCACAATCCTATCTCATCTGCCAAAAGCAAGCCAACACTTTCCATTAAAATACTAATAAGTTTATATTTGTTTAAATTGTTCTTCATTTTAATTTTTGTATTGTTTTTAAGCGTTTTGCACTACAAATAATATATGTGCAGTGTGCATAGGAATTCATTCATGTTTTTTTTTTCAAATTATAACCCGGCCCTCTAACAATTTGAGAGACTGTGACCTGGCCCTCTGTTTAAAATGTTTGAGGACCCCTGCTTTAAACACTCATGCTTTGATATGTTTTTGTGCCCATAATCTGGAGAGATAAGCAACGGGGCATATCATGATGTTCCCCAAATGTTTTTACCTTGCTCATCCACTATGACATTTGTGCTTGAGTCTGTTGCTTAGAGTAGTAGGTATAACTTACTAACTGATCACTTTGTGTATCTCCCTCCCAAATAGCTATTTTCAGACAAACCCTACAAAGTAGTTCAGACTGTAAGGGGATGCTTTGCCTGTGAACAATGATTTGATTGCACACCAGAAAAACTCAATGTGAAAAGGGTTTTGTCTCTTATAGCCATAGGAGGAAGTCAGCTCTTGCCGAAGACGCAAACTCTGGCCTTGGCTACTGGAAATCTTACCTGGTGCTTATTGTTCAACTGTAGATTTCACTCCTGTATATTTTTGAGCCTATCTCTGGAGCTAGGTGCATTTGGTTTGTAGGTTTGCTTGTTCAATGTATGTTCAATGAAAACTGTATTTTTGGCAAGTTTTGAATTCTGCTCCCTAGTGATAGATTCCACAATCATGGAGTAACATGGATCCTTGCTTTTGTATAGGCACATACCCAACACTGGGTTGTTGTAGGTTTTTTCGGGCTATATGGCCATGTTCTAGAGGCATTATCTCCTGACATTTCGCCTGCATCTATGGCAAGCATCCTCAGAGGTAGTGAGGATGCTGAGGATGCTTGCCATAGATGCAGGCAAAACGTCAGGAGAAAATGCCTCTAGAACATGGCCATATAGCCTGAAAAAACCTACAACAACCCAACAATACAATATTTAGCCAGCATAAACTTACCAGTATTTCAATGGGAAGTGTGGACCTTTTTTTGGCTGATGAGACAGTCAAGTTAATTGGGATTGTTGTTGTTGTGTGCATCCTCAGAGGTAGTGAGGTAGTGAGACTGAGACCTCACTATCTTTCAGAATGCTTGCCTTAGATGCAGGCGAAACGTCAGAAGATAATGCCTCTAGAACATGGCCATATAGCCCGAAAAAATCTACAACAACCCAGTTATTCTGGCCATGAAAGCCTTCGACAATACATTATACCCAACACTCTGTGGCGGAAATGTGACATTGTCGCCATGCCCAGTGCTTCCCAAATTTGGGTACTTCAGGGTTCCTGGAAATCCTTATTGATCCTCTGCAGATCTCAGAGAGAATGAGAAATTTCACAAGGACATCAAGACCAACTTTGGCTTTGCTGATGATAAACAGGATTTCCAAGTGTTCAGCATTTCAGAATTAGATTGTTGTTATATATTGAAAATCATGTACAGTAGAGTCTTGCTTATCCAACATAAACGGGCCAGCAGAACATTGTATAAGTGAAAATGTTGAATAATAAAGGAGGGATTAAGGAAAAGTCTATTAAACATCAAATTATGTTATGATTTTACAAATTAAGCACCAGAATGTAATGTTTTACAACAAATTGATAGAAAAAGCAGTTCAATACACAGTAATGTTGTGTAGTAATTACTGTATTTACGAATTTAGCACCAAAACATCGCAATGTATTGAAACAGCTGTGGATCCAGGCAGGAGGCAGACTGCGTTGGATAATAAAGAATGTTGGATAAGCGAGACTCTACTATATTTATCTGTTAGCTTTCTTCCAGGAAGCTCAAAGTTAGTGTAGAATACTTCTTTTCCTGCCACTTTTTTCCTCACACAGTAATCCTGTAAGGCAGTGTTTCTCAAACTGGGGGTTGGGACCCCTGGGGGGGGTCACAAGGGGGTGTCAGAGGGGTCGCCAAAGACGATCAGAAAACACAGTATTTTCTGTTAGTCATGTGGGTTCTGTGTGGGAAGTTTGGCCCAATTCTGTGTGGGAAATTTGGCCCAAGTTTGGCCCAGTGCTCTTTGATTGTAGGTGAACTAAATATCCCAGCAACTACAACTCCCAAAGGTCAAGGTCTATTTTTCCCAAACTCCACCGGTGTTTACATTTGGGCATACTGAGGATTCATGCCATGTTTGGTCCAGATCCATCATTGTTTGAGTCCACAGTACTCTCTGGATGTAGGTGAACTACAACTCCCAAACCCAAGGTCAATGTCCACCAAAACCTTCCAGTATTTTCTGTTGGTCATGAGAGTTCTGTGTGCCAAGTATGTTTCAATTCCATCATTGGTGGAGTTCAGAATGCTCTTTGATTGTAGGTTAACTATAAATCCCAGCAACTACAACTCCTAAATGACAAAATCAGTCGTCCCCCCTAGTATTCAAATTTGGACATGTCAGGTATTTGTGCCAAATTTGGTCCAGTGGATGAAAATACAGCCTGTTTATCAAATCTACAGTTATGAAGTATCAACGAAAATAATTTTATGGTTGGGGGTCACCACAACATGAGAAACTGTATTAGGGGTCTTGGCATTAGGAAAGTTGAGAACCACTGCTGTAAAGTAAGGTAGATGGAAAGAAAATGTCTTGTTCGAGGTCTCACCAACACTGGCATAACCTGTTAGCTCAGGGGCAGCTATAGCTTAGAATAACCTGGGATAAATATAGCTTGCTTTAAGCAATTTGCTTGAGGGCAGGGAACCAAATCAGTGAATTGCACTCTTATCTTAGCTTAATCATTGTTTGCTTTCCTGCTTTCTCCTAGGATTTCATCTAAAGAAAAAGGATCTTAAAGTATTGACAGAGACAACCGGCAAGACCTCAGTAGGGTTTCATCTCCGGCACTTTGAAGGGCTGAAGAAATCTAAGTTACAGATTTGGCTTTGACACTTTGTAGGAGTCTTATTTTACATCTGTTCGGAAACCTCCCTCATGATGGCAGCTTTTTTGGTTTTGCCCGTCATATAGAAGAGGAATCCACATGCTTTCAGTTCAAACTGGCTGTCCTTTGAGGCCTGGTTCACACAGCACAATTCATGCCAAAAAGCAAGTGAGATCGAGCAATGGTTTTCCATTTGTGACCATCACAGAACAGCTATCCAACTTAACATTTTTTACATAGTGGGGCAGCCATGATTGCTTCTCATCCCAGTCATCAGGACTTGTTTTGAACTATGACTTGCACCTTCTGAAGGTCTGATTTAGTTTACATTTCAAGAACTTCTCCTGCACTCCATCATAAAACATTGTCATAGGTTACAGCATTTGAAACACTGCCGTATGTTCTTTTCTCTCCATGCCAAAAAGCAAGTGAGATCGAGCAATGGTTTTCCATTTGTAACCATCACAGAACAGCTATCCAACTTATTATTTTTTACATAGTGGGGCAGCCATGATTGCTTCTCAGTCCCAGTCATCAGGACTTTTTTTGAACTCCGACTTGCACCTTCTGAAGGTCTGATTTGGTTTACATGTCAAGAACTTCTCCTGCACTCCATCTTAAAACATTGCAGCATTTGAGACACTGCCGTCTGTCCTTTTCTCTCCATGCTCATGCCTCTTTTTCCATCGTGAAGAGACTCATAATGCTCAAATTATTTGTGAAATTTTGAGCAGTCCTGATAATGTGTTATCTTATCTGGTTGTGATTAAGGTTTTTATATATATTTTTTCTTGGACCAATTTGGGGAGGAGAGCCATCACAGCTCTGTTGCATTTTCAAGTGGTCTCAGACAAATGCTTTTCAGTGGAGTCCATTACCTGATGCCAGTCATAGCATGGAGTTTAGAGGTACATTATGGAGTTTATGTCTATACACACTTTGTGACATAGGAATCCTCTGAACAGTATTTTGTTTGTGAGGATTTGACTGTTCGGTCCACTACAGCCTGGGAATCCTCTGGCCAATCAGATATTGAACTACAACTCACAGCAGCTTTAGTAAGGAACATGAATAGAGAGGAATGTTGGGAGCTGCATATTCGGAGAGCCAAGGTTTTTATCTTATCCACATCTTTCTGCATCTGTGGATAGGGATTGATTTCCAGTTGAAGGTTACTCCCTTGAAACCACAAGCTCAAAACCAGTGTTTAATTGCTGCCAAAGCATGGTTTGTTCTACTGAGAGCCAAACAACTTAACCAAAGTGTTGTTGAAGGCTTTCGTGGCCAAAATCACTGGGTTGCTGTGAGTTTTCCGGGCTGTATGGCCATGCTCCAGAAGCATTCTCTCCTTATGTTTCAGCCACATCTATGGCAGGCATCCTCATTGGCAAGTGAGGCTTATATATCTGTAGAATGTCCAGGGTGGGAGAACGAACTCTTGTCTGTTTGAGGCAAGTATGAATGCTGCAGTTTATCACCTAATGACATTCCACATTATATATAAACCCCACTTGTCTAGTTTCCGACAGACTTCACAACCTCTGAGGATGCCTGCCATAAATGTGGGCGAAATGCCAGGAGTGAATGCTTCTGGAACATGGCCATATGGCCCGGAAAATTCACAGCAACCCAATTTAACCAATGCCTGACTCATGGATAAGAAATGTGTGGAACTCCAAGATGTTGCTAGATCGCAGCACTTTAATTTCCTTACTATTTAGTTATGGCCAATGGAAACTGTAGCCTTGAGTTCGGCATTTGTTCACCCGTACTTTAATGACACTGTTTGGGTTTTGATAGATTTGTCATGTAAAAGAATGGGACCAACGCATTGTTTGGAATCGGGCATTTCCGATCTTGTGGCCCACAGAGAAGATGAAAGGTTAACATGGACTTTTGAGCAGCTATTTGTGACTCCAGGAAACCAAAAGCCCTGATTTTTTAAAAATTTGCCATCCCTGGCTCATTGCTTCTTACCTCACATTAAGAGGAGGAATTATAGTATGCAGTAAGTAGGAATTACAGTCCCAGATTATCACCTTCCTCTTTTGTCGTTGTGGGACTAAAGCATTGCACTCAGTATTAATTATCCTATGAAGAAACTGCTTAACGAATTCCATGCTTGGAGTTCTATTTTAGGTGCTCATGATACTGCTTGTTTCACTGACGTTTTTTAACTTTTTATGTAGACATTAATACAGCTTTGTAAGCAAACACATTGGATGTGGAATGGTCATTTAATCTGAGCTGAATCTCTGTGGCTATGGTTGTAAAATGGGCATTTCCTAAGGGCAGCAAAACATTAGGAGCTAAGTTCAAATTTGGATTTGTTATCTTGGCTTTTATGACAAGACATATTCAGCATCAACTGAAGGAGCCAATACAGCCCTTTGCTTATAGGTGAGTGGCCATGATGTTCAAATATAGGACATTGTTTGGGGGTGAGGGAAGCATTCATCATAGTGGGAACCTTTATACCTCTGGAAAGATGTTAACTGGCATTCTGTATTGCAATTCATTGTGACAACTTAGTTATGCTGCTAGGAGACTGAAAACATTTTTCTTGCATTTAAATTGGCAGCCTAACAAACTTTTATTTACTCAGTGGAGATATAAAGATGGGAGGTCAGGAGGCATTACTTAATTATGAATATGGAATTGAATAGATGATGCAGGAAACTGACAGTATCATTAAGGTCAATACTATTACACTAAATGAAGATGGTCTTGAAGCTGCTTCTGAGTTATAAGTGAAATGGGAAAAGGAAGAAAAGAATTGGAGGTAGGAATTGAGGTACTTTTGGGGGTAGAAATTATTGTGATCGGCAGAACCCCAAAACAGTTGTAATTCTGCCTACTCTGCCATATAATCCAGAATATCAGCAGATAATCCACTTTATCTGCTTTGAACTAGATTATCTGAATCTATACTGCCAGATAATCCAGTTTAAAGCAGATCATAGAATCATAGAATCAAAGAGTTGGAAGAGACCTCATGGGCCATCCAGTCCAATCCCCTGCCAAGAAGCTGGAATATTGCATTCAAATCACCCCTGACAGATGGCCATCCAGCCTCTGTTTAAAAGCTTCCAAAGAAGGAGCCTCCATCACACTCCGGGGCAGAGGGTTCCACTGCTGATAATCTGGATTTAATACAGCTGTGTAGAAGGGGCCTCTGTCTTGTCTTGCAACATGGTAGAATCTCCTGGAAGCCCAGAATAGGGGTGGGAATGATGAGGCCTTCCCAATGTTTAGCTCCCAGGAGCTCTAGTAACTGGGTTAAACCCTTGTGCCAACAGGAATGCCGACCGAAAGGTCAGCGGTTCAAATCCAGGGAGCGGGGTGAGCTCCCATCTGTCGTCTCCAGCTTCCCATGTGTGGACATGAGAAAGGCCTCCCACAGGATGGTAAAACATCCTGGCATCCCCTGGGCAGCATCCTCGCAGATGGCCAATTCTCTCACACCAGAAGCGACTTGCAATTTCTCAAGACGCTCCTGACATGAAAAAAAAGTTACTGGAAAGCCAGTTGTCTATCACTGTCATAGAACCCCTATGATCTTTGTGACACAAAATTACCCTACCCCAAATGTGTTTTTTCTGTAACTTTATTATCAAATATATTAGGGAAGGTGAGGGAATGGGTGTCTCAGTCCTGCTGCTTGGCTCGGGAAGCTTCAGCATTCGCCCGCAAGACAGCGCCAGGGCTTGGATAGGGACGCTGCTGGAAGAGGGGCCCAGCCGCAGTGGTGTCTGCCCCAGTCTTGGCTTCATTTCGCTTGGGCAGCCCCGTGGACCAGGTTCCCCTTGAGCAAGGTAGACAGACAGAGTTAGAAACCATATAGAATCATACCAGATGATCTGCCTTGCCTGTTTTCTATTCTAACATCACACAACTCTTTGGTCCAAGTCTCTCTCTGCCATTCCTGCTTGGATAGCAATACGGTGGGACCTCTGTATGAAGGGGGTTGATTTCAGAGACTTCATATAAAGCTCAAGCACCACCTGATCCTTTCCACCCCAATTTACGCCCCAAAAGAAATTATCCCCAGCTTCCCTTCTCCATTTTGACAACCAGATGCTTCTCTTCCTCATTCTGTCTCTGCAAACTTGAGCCAATCCCAAACTTTCTTTTACATACTATCAACTACCTCTTTCTCTTCCTACCCTTCACTCTCCCTTCCATGCGTGCATAAACCTGACATCCTGACAATCAAATCCTTCTCTTTCAACCTCTCATTTTGCTTCTCCTGCATCAGCAAGTTTTATAGTCCTCGCATAAGGCCACTGGGTGGCGCAGGAGAGAAATTAAACATCCGACATTCCTTTTTGTTCATTTTTTGGAATATATAGTGGTTGGTTGAATTTGTGGATCTAAAACCTATAGATCTGACAAGTCTGCTCTGTGCCTATCCCTTAGTTTCTTGGCTTCTAGAGTTTTAAAACTTTTTGAAATGGCATGAGACTCTCAAAATCCTATGAGCAGTGCAAAGTAAGCACTCAGCAGAAATGCTGCATGTATGAACACATGCAATTTTTAGACTGATATCCATTGCAAAAATTTAAAAGCAGGTGTCAAGCTGGCTGAGGTTTAATACACAGTTAAAACTGAAATTGCAATGCCTGTTCAAATCTGTGATGTGCTGAACTTGCTAGGAGAGCCTGAACACATCAAATCTAGAGTTGGAAGAGACCACAAGGGCCATCCAGTCCAACACTGTGCCACACAGGAATACCCCATCAAAGCACTGTTCATACTGTTAGCATCTCACAGATTTAACATTTCACTGCTAAAACTGTGACATGCTAACATTATGAACATATAACGCAGCAATATGCAATTCATACCAATATAAATGTTGATATGGTATCCAGAGGCTCTTCAAGATTGATAGTAAAAGGTCCTTCTTGCTAGAGGGGTTTTAAACTGAAGGTGCCATTAGCACAGTGGTTCTCAAATTGTGCTCTGGGGAGCCCTTTGGGCTCTGCAAGAGGTGCTCAGCCGCTCTGCAGGCACCCCGCCTCCTCTGGGATTTCTGCTATTATTATTATTATTATTATTATTATTACAAAGGCTGGATGGCCATCTGTTGGGGGTGTTTTCATTGTGCTTTTCCTGCATGGCCCCGGTGGTCTTCCACTGAAATACCATTATGTTTATTTAGTTTTTCATTTTAAATATTGTATTTTTAACTGTGTAAATTAGTTCACACAAACACTCTCTATCCACTGGCCTGGCCCATGCCTGAGATAGATATAATATTACAAATATTGGGGCTCCTCGAGACACTTTTGTTTCAAAAAGGGCTCCACGGCTGAAAAAGTCTGAGAATTCTTTTATCAGCTGACCCGGAGTTCTTAGATGCAACCCAAGCATAGTCTCCTATCCTTGAACTGGGTACAAAAGGGCACACCTGGCCTGCCTGTGATCTTCCATTTGCCCTCTATTCATTTCTTTGCTGGGAAACTGAGCTTTAATGAGGATGGCACTGAGAACACTCACCGAGGAGCATCAGAGTAAGCACTAGGGTCCATGGGGTCGAGTTCTTCATCCTTCCGGCTGGCTGCAAAGGACAAACAAGAGAGATACAAGACTCTTGTCATAACTCCAAACTTTCCCCTCCACCAAGCTGCAGGCTTGGGGAAACTTTAGCTTTCCTGAGATTTTGGACTTTAGCTCCCTCAATCTCTTATCATTAATGGTGGATGTGGCTGATGGGAGTTGATGTCCTAAACCAGGGGTCCTCAAACTTTGTAAACAGAGGGCCAGGTCACAGTCTCCCAAACTGTTGGAGGGCCAGATTATAATTTGAAAAAAACATGAATTCCTTTGCACACTGCACATATCTCATTTGTCATGCGATACAATAATTAAAATGAAGAACAATGTCAACTAATATAAAATTATTAGTATTTCAATGGGAATTGTGGGCCTACTTTTGGCTGATGAGATAGGATTGTTGTTGTTGTTGTGTGCTTTCAAGTCGTTTAGACTTAGGCTGACCCTGAGCGAGGGCTGGGTAAATGACATTGGAGGGCCGCATCCGGCCTCCAGGCCATAGTTTGAGGACCCCTGTCCTAAACACTTGGGATGTTGGAGGTTCTCTGCCTTTGTCTTGACAGGACCCCAAGGAGCCCCAGAAACCATGCCTCAAGGGCCTGGCATGACCAAGAAGTATCTGTGGAGTTTGGAGTCCGTTGGCTGCATCTCATGACACAAAGGCAAGCTGTACTTACATTTCTTGCTCTTGGGATAAGGGGCCAGCTCCTCTCGTCGGTGGTACCGGCGCTCCTTCACCTCTTCCCGCTCCACCTTTTCATGCAAACGCTCTGTTTTTTCCTCAACATCTGTAGGAGATTTATGTAGTTTGCATTTCAGTTCCCAGAACTCCACCTTCCCCTTACCCTTCAGACTTGAAACAGGGTTCCGTACTCCCCATTTCTTTATAAACATGGTGAGACCTGGAATTGATGTTTGTCAATGGTTCTGAAAATTGCCTAGTGTGCTGACAGATTGTTCCTTGCCACATTTTAGGACTCTTTACATATTGAAACTTGGCATATGCTTAGCTAGTACTTAACATTAATTTAACAGTCAAACTTGGTATGAGATTTTCACCATGTGAATCTCTGGGCAGTTGCAACCCCCAAGTGTTGTCGGACAACAATTCCCATGATCCTTCAAGCAATGAAATTTCAGTTCTCTTTCCTTTCTCACAATCAAATTAAATACTGTTCATTAAAGGACTTCTGTTTTATCAGGTCCCAAAGACATTGGGCCTCTTGGTGGCACAGCAGGTTAAACTGCTGAGCTGCTGAACTTGCTGACTAAAAGGCTGGCCCTTCAAACCTGGGGAGTGGGGTGAGCTCCCACTGTTAGCTCCAGCTTCTGCCAACCTAGCAGTTCAAAAACATACAAAATGTGAGTAGTTCAATAGGTAGCGCTTCTGCGGGAAGGTAATGGTGCTCCATGCAGTCATGCCGGCCACATAACCTTGGATACATCTACAGACAGCACCAGCTTTTCGGCTCAGAAATGGAGATGCGCACCCCCCTCCCAGAGTTGGACATGACTGGACTTAATGTCGGGGGAAATCTTTACCTTTTACAGACATATGGCCTTCCAGATGCTGTTAGACTGCAGCTCGTCAGCTTTAGCCATGATTACTAATTCCATGGGACGATGGAGCTTGATGTTCAATATCTAAAGGGCCCTACACTACCCACACCCAATCTAGAGATTAAAATTTTTAATCTCATGGCTCTAGTTATTTACTCATTCTTCAACCAACAATCAATTCTAATTTACCCCAATAATAAAGATTTAAACACATCAACATCTCACAAAGGGGAATACTAGCCAAATCTTTGTCTTAAAATGCAAAGATGATACACAGATCAATATGTTACAGTTGCAAGAGTCCAAGGAAGGTAGCAGAGAACAAAAACCTTCTACTGTGCCAAACAAAAATACATGCCTCATAATATCCCCGCAGCTTCATAGGTGGATAACAGAAAAAGGAAAACATGCCTAATAATTTAATGTAAATATTCTAACCATTGAAGGTTAGCTCAACTAGAACAGACCTGGAGACTGCAATGGCTATCAGCCTTAGCCAGTGTTAAACTTCTGAATCCAATTTTCTATCCCTTGAAGAAGTCAATCCTGCCCTCTTAACCTGGTTCACACTACCACCATGCCATCTTACTCAAATTGGTAGTTTATACCATCAGAAACAGAAACACAAAAACTCACCCAAACTGTTCTTCAGTTTCTTGGCTGCTTTGGTCACCACAGAGTTGGGATCATTGGGTGAAAGCCATGAAACCAGATCACTCTCTAGGTTCCAGTAGTAAGGGAGTCCGCTATGGGGGAAAGAGGGGTTCATGCATTTGATACCATAGCTCACACCAGCATTTTTAGACATCAGGAGCTGCTCTGTCCTATGATGACAGTGAAACATTGCTGCCTTTGGGAGTATAATATAAACCCATTTGGGGTTGGGACCCACAGTTTAAGAAGCAGTGCTCTAGAGGGCCTATGGCAGTGAATGAAGTAAAAGCCTGCCACTTTGACCAAGAATAGAGCCTTTTTAGAGGTCATTCTGAGTTTAAGAGACCTTTTGAGGATTATAATTTCCAGAATTTCTTCTCTAGCACTACTGCTGGACGTTTTGGCTGGATGATTCTAGGAAGCATAACCCGCAAAAAAAAAAAAACTATTAAAAGTTCTGGTGATATTCTCACTATGTTGAATGAACCAACTTTGTAAACATAAATGCAAAGCATCCTAATAGAAAAACAATCATTTCTGGAAGAAGGAGCTCTGCACAGCTTCTCTGTTCTCACCAGACAGGATCGACGACTTTGTACCAGCTTGGGGGAAGGTTCTCCATCCTAGTGGCTTCATAATCAACGTGGTCATCGTCATAATCCTCTGCAATGATTTCTTCCTCTGGCTCTGATGAAAAAAATGGAAGGTAAGAAGCAGGGCCCATCTACACTGCCATATAATCCAGTTTCTCAATGCAAATTAGCTGCATTGAACAAATACAATCCAGTTCTAAGCAGTTAATCTGCATTCAGAATTTGGATTATATGCCAGTGTAGATCCAAACTTAGAGACATGTATCAGCAACACACGATGAAATGTTATGAGCCACCACAGAAAATCAAATATCCATATAGGACCTGAAATGCTCTGATACTGGGACTGCTCTGTGGAAGACAGATTCACCACAATTGCTTAAGAATCTAAAATTAAAATACTTTTAAAATGCTAAACATTGTCAAACTTAAACTCTCACCATCTCCAGCTACTGGCTGGGTCAATGGGTACTGAAGTAAAAAACAAACAAACAAACAAAAAAACAGCTGGAGGGCGATAGGTTTCCCATCCTAGAGCTCCTTCCTCTTGCAAGGAAAGGATATTTCTGTCCTTACCAGGCTCCACATGTTTCAGCAGGCCTCTTCTGGCCAAACGAGACTGCAGCGCTACTGGCAGCGGCATTGAGGAGCCTCTAATCCAGGAATGATAATGGAGAAAACACTTATCTTCTGCACTGGATCCTCAGAAGAGGAGGGGAGAGATCTGCAACAGCTCCAGGACTCTGATCCACTCGGGGCGTGGGTGGTGGCCTGTTAAAATAAAACAATGCCAGAGTTATCACACAATGATTCATTGATTAAATTTAATTGATTCAGGTGCAACCATAACACCTAAACTAAAAAGAGACTGAGAAATTAGATTTACAGGCAGTTCCTGATTTACAAACAACTCAAAGTTAAGAATGGAGGTATAACAATAGAAAGAGAGAGAAATCTACCCCTCAGAAGGGAAATTCACTCCTGGAAGAGTTATCCTGGGGAAAATAGATCTCCACTGAAGCTTTCCCACCAATCCTTGTTTCAACAACAAGCCATTTTTTTCAAATACTATCATCACAAGGACAGAAAGTGCAACAAAATCTTCTGAACTGGGGCACAGACAGCAAAACAAACACCACAGGGGTGTTAACCCTTCCCTGTGCTGTCAAAAGCTCTCTCTCTCTCTCTCTCTCTATATATATATATATATACACATACACACACACATATATGGATGGCTGGAGTTACACTGAAAAAATGTATCGACTTACAAACAAATTCAACTTAAGAACAAACTTACAGACCCTATCTTATTTGTAACTTGAGAACTGCCAGTACTGTGAAGGTTCATTCTGGGATATCAGGAGGAGCAATCCATTGCAATTGGGTTTAACTGGATTGACTCATGTTCTTTTTCAGTTGAGCCATTAATTAATTTATTATCATTATCATTATTATTTTTTTTATCGTGTCAGGAGCGACTTGAGAAACCACAAGTCGCTTCTGGTATGAGAGAATTGGCCGTCTGCAAGGACGTTGCCCAGGGGACGCCCGGATGATATGACGTTTTTATCACCCTTGTGGGAGGCTTCTCTCATGTCCCTGCATGAGGAGCTGGAGCTGATAGTGGGAGCTCATCCGCCTCTCCCCGGATTCATTATTATTATTATACTATATTTATACCCCACGCTTCTCGGCCCAGTGGGGGACTCAGGGTGGCTTACAATCCATGGCATACAAAAGTGCCGCATTACACATATAATAATAAACATAACATATGAATTTAAACAATATAAACAACTAGCATATCAATTTAAACATACAATAATAAACATGAGATAATAATTCAAGTATAAATACAATAACAAGCTTAGAAGTAATTCAAATAGAAATACAATAAAAGCTTAAAAGTAAACATACAATAATTCAAATATAAATACAAAAATGAGCTTAGTGAATTTATTTATTTACTATATTTGTATACCGCCCTTCAGGCGACTCAGGGCGTTTTACAGAGGCAACGATTCGATGCCCAAGAACATCATAAAACATTTGAAACATTAATACATAGTATATAGCCAATCGAAAGTAATAAAAACATAAGACATTTGCATCTCCTAATTAAAAACATTATCTATCTTGTCGTCCAGTCATCCCAAGTACATTTTCAAACGCTTGCTCGAACAGCCAGGTCTTCACTCTTTTCTGGAATGATAAGAGGGAGAGGGCCGATCTAATGTCCCTAGGAAGGGCGTTCCATAGCCGAGGGGCCACCACTGAGAAGGCCCTGTCTCTCGTCCCCGCCAAACGTATTTGTGACGCAGGCAGGATTGAGAGCAGGGCCTCCCCAGACAATCTTCAAGTCCTAGAAGGTTCATAAGGGGAGATGCGTTTGGACAGGTAAGTTGGGCCAGAACAGTTTAGGGCTTTATAGGCTAAAGCCAGCACTTTGAATTGTGCCCGGTAACAGACTGGTAGCCAGTGGAGCTGGCACAACTGAGGAGTTGTATGCTCTCTGAGTGCTGCTCCTGTTAGTAATCTGGCTGCTGTCCGTTGGACCATTTGAAGCTTCTGGACAGTCTTCAAAGGCAACCCTACGCAGAACACATTGCAGTAATCTTTACGGGATGTAACCAGAGTGTGGACTACCATGGCCAAGTCAGACTTCCCAAGGTACAGGCGCAGCTGCCAATCAAGTTTTAACTCTGCAAATGCTCCCCTGGTCACCGCCAAAATTAAGTCATTCCTCTTCTCCAGCAGATTTACTATCAAGTTTTAACCTAAAACCTAGGCCCCTTCTACAGTGCCGTATAAAATTCAGATTATCTGCTTTGAATTGGATTATATGGAAGTCATAATAATAGTAACTATAATAATAATAAAAACTTTAATTATATTCTGTCCTCTCTCCCCTGGGAGACTAAGGGCAAATTCCAACAAACAAAAAAGCAAACATTCAATGCCTCAATAACAGTAAATACAAATATAGGTAAAGGTAGTCCCCTGACATTAAGTCCAGTCATGTCTGACTCTGGGGTGTTTCTAAGCCGAAGAGCCGGCATTGTCCGTAGACACCTCCAAGGTCATGTGGCCGGCAGGACTTCATGGAGTGCCGTTACCTTCCAGTCAGAGCAGTACCTATTGATCTACTCACATTTGCATGTTTTCGAACTGCTAGGTTGGCAGAAGCTGGGGCTGACAGCGGAAGCTCACGCCGCTCCCCGGAATAGAACCTGCGATCTTTTGATCAACAAGCTCAGCAGCTCAGTGCTTTAACCCACTGCGCCACCGGGGGCTCCCCATACAAATATAACAACCCAAAATAACCCTGCATAAAGAGCAACTTTATAAATGCATATAAACTAGTTCAAAGGAGATAATATAGATTATCATCTTCTTTGATAATCTGGATTTTATGGCAGATTGTTCCTCCACACCATCCTCAAAACACATTCCTTCTGCTTATTGAAGCTGCCCTTAACTGGAGGTAAATCTATACAGTATTTTAGCAATATTGTGCCTGAAACAATATATCTTTGAGCATCAGCAAGCCCATTTTGGATAATTTTGAGGGAGGGTTCCTCAGTACAGTAATGCCTGAATGTGGGTGCATCTACACTGTAGATTTAATCCAGTTTGACACCACTTTAACTGCTATGGCTCAATGTTATGGAATCTTGGAGCTGCAGTTTGGCCTTTTGGCAGGATTTCATAGCAAACTGGTGTCAAACTGCATTAATTCTGCAGTGTAGATGCACTCTATTCTTCAGAGCTTTAACTGAGCATCTTCGAGTGCCCTCTTCAAAAGGTAAAAACAACACAAGCATTCTGTTTGAAAAAGCTCATACCTGATTCCCCGCTTTCAGTCTTTTCCCGAAGCCAAGCAAGCACGCTATTTCTTAAACGAGTCCACTCAACACAACCGTTTCCAACATTAAAAGCTTTTTGACCCGATAAAGACGCCGTCCGCAAGAGCTTAAGCTTCCTTTCCCCCTCTGCACGTGACACCACCGCAGCCTATCGGAATTCGGCATCTATTTTTCCCCCTCCTCTCCTTATATTATTGATCGTCAGGTAAACGGGCATTGCACCAATCCGAGGGAAAGCCTTTCACGTCAACCCGCCCCTTAAGTCCCTCTTAGCCTATCAAAGACAATCTTCTTTTCTCCACGAGATGCCCTCAATCAGAAACCACGGGCCTCATTGGTTGGTTGGATTATTTCTCTAGAGATATAAGGAAATTTGTCAGAAAATATGGAAAACACAAGAATGGCCATCAGACTGGAAAAAATCAACTTATATCCCCAAACCAAAAAAGGGAAATGCGAAAGACTGCTCAAACTTCCGCACAGTGGCCCTTATTTCTCATGCCAGTAAGGTAATGCTCAAGATCCTGCAAGGAAGACTCCAGCAATACATGGAGAGAGAGTTGCCAGATGTTCAAGCTGGGTTTAGAGAAGGCAGAGGAACGAGAGACCAGATTGCCAATATCCGCTGGATAATGGAGAAAGGCAGGGAGTTCCAGAAAAACATCTACTTCTGCTTCATTGACTATTCTAAAGCCTTTGACTGCGTGGATCAGAATAAATTGCGGCAAGTTCTTGGTGGTCTGGGCATACCAAATCATCTTATCTCTCTCCTGAGGAATCTGTACAAGGACCAAGTAGCAACAGTAAGAACTGACCATGGACCAACAGACTGGTTCAAGATTGGGAAAGGCGTACGGCAAGGCTGCATCCTCTCACCCAACCTTTTTAACTTGTATGCAGAACACATCATGCGATGTGTGGGGCTGGATGAATGCAAAGCTGGGGTGAAAATTGCTGGAAGAAACAAGAACACATCATGAGATGTGCGGGGCTTGATGAATGCAAAGCTGGGGTGAAAATTGCTGGAAGAAACATTAACAACCTTAGATATGCAGATGATACCACTTTGATGGCTGAAGGTGAGGAGGAGCTGAGGAGCCTTCTAATCAAGGTGGAAGAAGAAAGCACAAAAGCTGCGTTGCAGTTAAACATAAAAAACCAAGATTTTGGTTCTTCTTGAATCTTGGTTTTTTATGTTTAATTGCAACCCAGTTTTTATACTTTCTTCTTTCACCTTGGTTAGAAGGCTCCTCAGCTCCTCCTCGCTTTCGGCCATCAAAGTGGTGTCATCTGCATATCAAGCAACCAGAACTATCGAGCAACTGGCAAAAAACCCAAAGAAAGAATACTTAAAATAAAATTTAAATCAAATAAATGTTTCATGGACATGTAAGTTTAAATTAAGTTTTCATTTATTTATTTATTTGCTTTTGATTACGTGTGTGGAGTGTTGTGGTGTGTAGTTGCTCGCGGCAGTGTGGTGGCACTGCGTGTCGGGGGGGGAGTGGAGGGAGTTCAGGGAGTTGTCAAGGAGGTGGTTCGCGGAGGACAGACGATCTTGTGTAGCTGCCGCTATCAGTCGTAGGCGCAGTGGCTGCGCCGATTGTAGTATACGAGTAAGGTATCGTAGAAGGGGAAAAGCCGTACTGAGTTGTGCTAGACACGCAGGGTGGGGATAGATAGGCGCACAGGATGATGGTGGGCAGAATGACTGATGTCTGAGTGTAATGCCGGGGGTGTCGCATCGGTGGTCTAGGGCAGGCGGTGCGCGCGCTGGGAGTAGCCGTGTATGAAGTAGAGGGAAGAGAGTGTGATGGGCTTGGTTATAGGCGAGTGTAGGATGTCCGGGGAGAGGGGGGAAGGGGGGGGGGGGAGGGAGAAGAATAGATAATTAGAAATATGCCCTTCTATCAGTGCTACATTTGTCAAAATGGCACAGGGATAGAGTAGGTAGAGTAAGGTTGAGAGGCGTGATGGCAGAGGGGGAGACTAAGAAAAAAGATAGAAAAAAAACCCCAAGATTATGGCAAGAAGAATTATTGATAACTGGCAAACAGAAGGAGGAAACGTGGAGGCAGTGACAGACTTTGTATTTCTAGGTGCAAAGATTACTGTAGACGCAGACTGTGGCCAGGAAATCAGGAGACACTTACTTCTTGGGAGGAGAGCAATGACCAATCTCGATAAAATAGTGAAGAGTAGAGACATCGCACTGGCAACAAAGATCCGAATAGTTAAAGCAATTATATTCCCCGTAGTCACCTACGGATGTGAGAGCTGGACCATAGGGAAGGCTGAGCGAAGGAAGATAGATGCTTTTGAACTGTGTTGTTGGAGGAAAGTTCTGAGAGTGCCTTGGACCGCGAGAAGATCCAACCAGTCCATACTTCAGGAAATAAAGCCCGACTGCTCATTTTGAGGGAAGGATAGTAGAGGTAAAGATGAAGTATTTTGGCCACATCATGAGGAGACAGGAAAGCTTGGAGAAGGAAAAAGGAAGAGGGGCCGACCAAAGGCAAGATGGATGGATGGATGGCATCCTTGAAGTGACTGGATTGACTTTGAAGGAGCTGGGGGTGGTGACGGCCGACAGGGAGCTCTGGCGTGGGCTGGTCCATGAGGTCACGAAGAGTCGGAAGTGACTGAACGAATGAACAACAACAAGAGATTCCACATTTGCCTAAAAAAACAGAACCCGGAATTTCCAATGCAATTTACCAACCTTTTCTGTTGTCACACTCTGCACATAACACTTTGGTAGAGGGTGTGCGTACCACTTTACACCTAATGCAGAATGGGTTGTTGTAGATTTTTTTCGGGCTATATGGCCATGTTCTAGAGCAGTGGTTCTCAACCTGGGGTCCCCAGATGTTTTTGGCCTACAACTCCCAGAAATCCTAATAGCTGACAAACTGGCTGGGATTTCTGGGAGTTGTAGGCCCAAAACATCTGGGGACCCCACTTTGAGAACCACTGTTCTAGAGGCATTTTCTCCTGCATCTATGGCAAGCATCCTCAGAGGTAGTGAGGTCTGTTGGAACTAGGAAAGTGGGTTTATATATCTGTGGAATGACCAGGGTGGGACAAAGCCCGAAAAAACCTACAACAACCCAGTGATTCTGGCCATGAAAGCCTTCGACAATACTAATCCAGAATTCTGAGATTTGTAGTTGGGGAGGAGACTTTGACATCCTCAACTGGAGAAATCCTAGACCTTCCTAAACTACAAACCCCAGAATGCTGAAGGAGGAGGCAGCAGGATTTAAAGTGGTAGGCACACTCTTGACCTAACTGTACTGTAGTCTTGTATTCCTATCTCTATGGTGACAACCAACCTGTTGGCGGCGCTTCCACGCGGAGAAGTTTGTCCCCGCCTCACGCGCTCACCGGCAGCCAATCGGAGGCGGTTGGATGATCCGGGTCTTTCAAGTTCCTCCTTTCACGTGACCGGCGCTGCTTTCGCCTGGGAGCGATGGAGGAATATGCCCGGGAACCCTGGTAACTGGACTTGGGCTGGGGTTTGGAGGGGGAGGAGGAGGAGGAGGCCTTTCTTGCTTTATCACTGCCATTATAAGGAGTTGGGCTGGGTTGTTCGCCCTGGACAAGGGCCTTCAGACTTTCTCGGGGAGGGAACTGAATCAGAGGCCTTTTTTGGCTGCCCTTGGGAGGGAGACATCTTTCTCTACCAATACGAAAGGAAACAAACATCACAAAAGAGGCTTGTGGCTTACTGCATTGAGCAGACTCACCTGTAGTTTCTTTCTTCTTTTTCTTTCTACCTCACTAAGCGTTATTGGCTTTCCTGGCGAGTCATCTTATAGGAGAGTTTCAGGATACATTTCTGTAGAATCATAGAGTTGGAAGCTGCTATACAACTCCCACAATCCCTTACTATTCACTATGCTTCACTGGAAACTGAAAAGTAAAGGAGTCTAAAAGTAAAGGTTTTCCATGACTCGCTTCTGATGTGAGAGAATTGGCCGTCTGCAAGGACGTTGCCCAGGGGACGCCTGGATGATTGGATGTTTTTATCATCCTTGTGGGAGGCTTCTCTCATGTCCCTGCATGAGGAGCTGGAGCTGATAGAGGGAGCTCATCCGCCTCTCCCCGGATTCGAACCTGCGACCTGTCGGTCTTCAGTCCTGCCGGCACATGGTTTAACCCACTGCGCCACCGGGGGCTCCTCACCTCTGAGGATGCTAGCCATAGATGTGGGTGAAATGTCAGGAGAGAATGCCTCCGGAACATAGCCACACAGCCCCGAAAACTCACAGCAATCCAGTGATTCCAGCCATGAAAGCCTTCGACAGCATATTATAAAATGTACAGTGAGCACCAAAATAGAGAATTGTATACAAATACATAACTATATAACTAATGATCTAGGTCAAGAATATATTCTGAGCAGTCTGCAAATCGAAAATTCTGGTAGGTAGTAACTGTTGAACCTAGCCGTCGCAGAAGCTAAAACTTTGTTTATACAAAACTACCCGATTCCTTACTTTGTAAAGAAACTGATGCTTGAAAATCCACTCAAAATTTGATGAAATATATATTATACTTAATTAGTACTTGCAATAGGAATCTTGTAGCACCTTAGAGACTGAACAAGAACAAAGTTCATAAGATCTGAGGACGTAGACTCAGGCTGGATCTAAACAGCCCTATGTCCTAGGATCTGATCCCAGATTATCTGGCAGTGTAGACTCACACATTAAGTTCAGTTGAGTCCAACTGTGTGTGGTGGTGCTCATCTCCATTTCTAAGCCGAAGAACCGGCGTCGTCCATAGACACTTCCAAGGTCATGTGGCCGGCATGACTGCACGGAGCGCCCTTATCTTCCCCTCGGAGTGGTACCTATTGAGCTACTCACATTTGCATGTTTTCAAACTACTAGGTTGGCAGAAGCTGAGCCTAACAGTGGGAGCTCACCCCGCTCCCTGGATTTGAACCAGCAACCTTTTGGTCAGCAAGTTCAGCAGTTTAACCCCCTGCGCCACCAGGGGAACTCTTAGAATCATAGAATAATAGAGTTGGAAGAGACCACATTGGCCATCTAGTATTCTAGTCCAATCCCCTGCCATGCTGGAAAAGCAGCATCAAAGTACCCCTGACAGATGGTCATCCAGCCTCTGTTTAAAAGTTTCCAAGGAAGGAGCTTCCACCACACTCCAAGGCAGAGAGTACCACTGCTAAACAGCTCATACAGCAGTGGTTCTCAACCTGTGTCCCCCCAGATGTTTTGGCCTCCAACTCCCAGAAATCCCAACAGCTGGTAAACTGGCTGGTATTTCTGGGAATTATAGGTCAAAACACCTGGGGACCCACAGGTTGAGAACCAGTGTCTTACAGTCAGGAAGTTCTTATAGAATCATAGAGTTGGAAGAGACCACATAGGCCATCCTGAAGCAGGAAAATTGCATTCAAAGCACCTAATTCTTCCTAATGTTTAGGTAGAATTTGAAGAGTTTCAAAGGCATCAGAAAGCAAGCCTGCTCCCTCTTCCTTATGACACCCTTTCACATATTTATACATGGCAATCATGTTTCTTCTCAACCTTCTCTTCTGCAGGCTAAACAGACCTTTAAGACGTTCCTCATAGGGATTCCTGGTCTCCAGACCTTTGATCATTTTAGCCCCCCTTCTTTGGACACCTCCCAGCTTGTCAATATCCTCCTTGAATTGCAGTGCCCAGATTAAGACCCATTATTATACCAGGTGGGATCTGATCAAAGCAGAATAGAGAGGCACCACGATTTTCTTCAATCTAGACGCTATACTCCTTTTGATGCAGCCCAAAATCGCATTGGCTTTTTGAGCTGCTGCATCACACTGTTGGCTCATGTTCAAGTTGTTGTTCATGAAGACTCCAATGTTTTTCTCACATCACCCATCCTGTATCTTTGCATTTCATTTTTTCTACCTAAATGCCATATCTTACTTTTGTCTTTGTTGAAATTCATTTTGTTAGTTTTGGTCCAGCTCTCTAATCTGTTTAGGTCCATTTGAATTCTGTCCTCTGGAATATTAGCTATCCCTCCTAATTTGGTGTCATCTGCAAACTTGATAAGCATGCCCCTTAAACTTTCATCCAAGACATTAATAAATATGTTGAACATCTCCTGGCCCCAGGAGCAAACCCTGCAGTACTCCACTACTCACTTCTTTCCAGGATGAAGTGGAACTATTGGTGAGCACCCTTTGGGTTCAGTCACTTAATCAATTATAGATCCACCTGATAGTAGTATTGCCTAGCCCACATTTGTCTAGTTTACTTGCAAGAAGGTCATGGGTGACTTTGTCAAAGGCCTTATTGAAATCAAGATATGCTACATCCACAGCATTCCCTGCATCTATCAAGCTATCCCTCCTAATTTGGTGTTATCTGCAAATTTGATAAGCATGCCCTCTAAACCAGGGGTCCTCAAACTTTTTAAACAAAGGGCCAGGTCACAGTCCCTCAAACTTTTGGAGGGCTGGATTTTAATTTGAAAAGAACATGAATTCCTATGCACACTGCACATATCTTATTTGTAGTGCAAAAAACACTTTAAAACAATACAATAATTAAAATGAAGAACAAATTTAAAAATATAAACTTATTAGTATTTCAGTGGCAAATGTGGGCCTGCTTTTGGCTAATGAGATAGGATTGTTTATTTATTTATTTATTTATTTATACACTTGTATACCGCTAATATCTCAGCCTAAGTCGGCGACTCATTGCGGTTTACAACAATTAAAAAACAGTATTCAATTTAAAACATAAAACACATATACAATACAAATTATTGGGCCACCAATAATAATCCCATGCATCTCGTAACTAAAATCACAGTCCAAAATTCGTCGTCCATGATTACCAGTCCTTTAGTCATCAATATACATTGCAACGGATTAACCGAATGCTTGTTTAAACATCCATGTTTTTAATCTCTTCCGAAACACCATCAGCGAGGAGGCTGATCGTACCTCTATAGGGAGGGTGTTCCAAAGCCGAGGGGCCACCACAGAAAAGGCCCTGTCTCTCGTTCCCGCCAGCCGCACTTGTGAAGCCGGCGGGATAGAGAGCAGGGACTCCCCAGAAGATCTTAGGGTCCTGGTGGGCTGATAGGCTGAGATACGTTCGGATAGATAAGTTGGGCCAGACATTTGTTGTTGTTGTTGTTGTGTGATTTCAAGTCATTTCAGACTTAGGTTGACCCTGAGCAAGGGCCGGATAAATGACCTTGGAGGGCCATATCCGGCCCAAAGGCCTTAGTTTGGGGACCCCTGCTCTAGACCTTCATCCAAGTTATTAATTATTGCAGTTTGACGCTACTTTTAACTGCCATGCCTCATTGCTGTCAAATCATGGGAGCTATTGTTTTACAAGGTCTTTAGCCTTCTCTATTAAGGATGGATGCCTCACAAAAACTATAATTCCCAGGTTCCCATAACATTGAGCCATAATTCTGCAGTGGAGATGCATCCATGGGGGAAAGATTGTGTAGAAATAGATGAAAGAACAATCTCATTGCCATGAAAAGATTGTGTCACACTTTTAAGTGCCACCAGTCCATCTAGAGCAGAGCTTTCCAACCATTTCATGTTGGGGACACACTTTTTTAGACATGCATCATATCGTGACACGGTAATTCAGTTTGCTAGCGAACTGGGAGTTAAACCTACTCCTTCTAAAAAATTTGGAGACATAGATTAATTGTAGTAACAAAATGTATGGGGATGCAACCTATCTCTTGAAAATCTTTTATTTCTATTTTTTTAAAAGATACAATTTGTTTCACGTAGACTTGGAGTCCTTTCACACAACCATATACCCCAGAATATCAAGGCAGAAAATTCCACAGTATCTTCTTTGAACTGTTATCTGAGTCCACACTGCCATATATTCCACTTCAAAGCAGAAAATGTGGGATTTTATTCAGCTGTGTGGAAGGGGCCTAAGTCTTCTGATTTTTTTTACTACAATCTCCAATGTGATTAATGACTGTGCCAAGACATATCAAGTCTTTGACTATTTCATGTCCTTGTTTACTTTAAAGTTATTTAATTCATCTATAGTCATCATTTTCCAAGAAAGATTTGCATTTTCACATTCTTGACTTTCCTTGTTCCAAGTCTTTGCTATTTTGTGCTAATAAATTGCTGTTTGTTCATCCCATTTCTATACCTGCCTATCTGAATCTAAGTCAGTTTTCAATATCATGGGTTCCTCAGTATGGCTAGGGAGGGATAAGCCCACCTGACAACCCCGCAAGGTAGGTTGAGCAAGGGTTCAAGCAAGGGTGTCCAATGTATGCTCAGTTGGGTTGAAACCCACTCACTGACCCGTGACTTCTTAGCCCAAGTTTCCCTTTTTAGGTTTGGGCAAAGTGTGAGCGGCAAGTTATTGCTAGATTGCAGTTCCCATCACCTCTGACTATATTGCATGGTATTGATAGGAGTTGGAGCCTGAGAGAAGTTGGAGGGTTGTGCTTCCCCTCCTTACTCTTGCCAATTTAGGTTTTATCAGCAACTACTCTCAAGGAGGTTACAGTGAGGAGGGGGTCAGCTCCCCCCCCCCCCTCCCCCAGACTAGGACAGAGAGCAGTGGGTTCAAACGTTCGGTAGTGGAATATGCTGCTTCATAGCATGGTGGAGTCTCCTTCTTTGAAGGCTTTTAAAGTAGGGGAGCCTCTGTCAGGGGTGCTTTGATTGTGTTTTCCTGCATGGCTGAAGGGAGTTGGACTGGATGGCCCTTGGGGTTTCTTCCAGCTCTAGAATTCTATGGACATTCTCCATCCCATCTCTGCAACTCGGGTATCAAGTAGACTCTGGTGTACTACAAGTACATTAGGAACTTCATAAGCAGTAGTAAAATGATGCCTCAGAAAACTCTGGAAAAGGCATCAAAATAAAAAGTACTGTATAAGTACTGCATGCTGACCAATTGAACCACTGAAAAATTAATAAATATATAGCTTGTTCAGTGTATTGTCAAAGGCTTTCATGGCCAGAATCACTGGGTTGTTGTAGGTTTTTTCGGGCTATATGGCCATGTTCTAGAGGCATTCTCTCCTGACGTTTCACCTGCATCTATGGCAAGTATCCTCAGAGGTAGTGAGGTCCTCACTAAGTCTGAGGATGCTTGCCGTAGATGCAGGTGAAACGTCAGGAGAGAATGCCTCTAGAACATGACCATATAGCCCGAAAAAACCTACAACAACCCAATATATAGCTTTTTTAAAAAAAATAATGAAAAAGTGGCAGTAATTTTTAACTTAAATATCATTTCCATATACTGCCATATTGTGACTGGGGAGCCTCATTTATTTTTAAAATTCTTAAATCCCTGGGTGGTAGAACCATGTTGAGGATATCACTGTATTCCAGGGGAAACATCCAAACCAATAAGAAATCAGTGGCTGGAGGGTTTTCCTATCTCTACATTAATGACATTGATTGCTGTTAAGTCTCCAAGGCCACTGTAAAGTTGTTTCATCACACCAATCTCCAGGATTATTGTTCAGCAGCCTGTGCTAACTCTCCTTTAATTCCTTCTGGCAGCCCATGGCGGATTGTGGATGATTGTGGTGGTGCCTTCACCATGGGCATGATTGGTGGGGGTGTCTTCCAGGCTGTGAAAGGCTTCCGCAATGCTCCAGTGGTGAGTTCCAAGTTTTTCATATGTAACTCATTGTTTTACAAAGGTAGTTGAGAGAAAAATGCAGTAAACAAATGGAGAAGCAAAATGTCTTGGACTGGTTAGGTGGTGGGGTGTTATTATATTGAACCCCTGCTTGTAACAGTTTCAAAGTGGTTTTCTGATGTTTTGGTATTCTTCCAAGTCATTTTCAAGTTAAGTTCACTCTAAGATAGTTTAAAATTGGTCTTCGGTCTGTACCTTGCCTTGAGATCTTTCTTATCAAGTTGTATGTAAATATGTTCATAAAGAATTATAACATTAAAGTATATTCAACACCAAAAAGGGAGCCCCCGGTGGCGCAGTGGGTTAAACCCCTGTGCCGGCAGGACTGAAGACTGACAGGTCATAGGTTCGAATCCGGGGAGAGGCGGATGAGCTCCCTCTATGCTCCAGCTCCTCATGCGGGGACATGAGAGAAGCCTCCCACAAGGATGATAAAACATCAAAATCATCCGGGCGTCCCCTGGGCAACGTCCTTGCAGACGGCCAATTCTCTCACAACAGGATTCTCCTGACACGACCAAAAAAAAAAAAAAAAAAACCACCAAAAAGATTGCAAAAGTGGATACTCTTTCTGTGGTTATTGTTTATAAACTTAGTACATTTCACTTGTGAGAGTGGTGAAAATAAAACATTCATTGGTAGCAAGAAACACAGCGGGGGAGAGCTGGTGTAAATGGAAAGCAGTTGCCCTGTACAGCTATCATAAAGATCAACGAATGGCTGAAAACTAACAGTTAACTGGTAATACTGGTTTGTGGCTCCGTGGTAATACTGGGATTGGGAAATGAGATGTGAATCATAAGACTTGGAGAAACTGTTATGTTAATCATAAGAATATTTATTTCTTCCCCACCTCTCCATGCAGATCAAGGCAGGGAATAGCAACAAATAATATAACAAGCAGTTGAAACAGTATATAAAACCAATACTTATTAAAATTCATCAAAAACACTTTAAAAACTATAATTTTAAAAATAATTTGGATAGGCCCATCTGGAAACTGGTCTTTACTGCTGATTTAAATTCACATTGCAGCCAGAGCTTCTGACAGATCATTCCAAAGGTGGGGTGTCCAAAGATAATATCCTATAGATCAGTGGTTCTCAACCTGTGGGTCCCCAGATGTTTTTGGCCTACAACTCCCAGAAATCCCAGCCAGTTTACCAGCTGTTAGGGTTTCTGGGAGTTGAAGGCCAAAAACATCTGGGGACCCCAGGTTGAGAACCACTGCTATAGATCAATGTCCTTCCAGATCCTCTGGGAAATGTCTACTTTGGCCTAATTTTAGCTGACTGTAGTAGATACCTCCCATAGTTCTCTTGCTTCTCCACTGGTCTATCCTTTTTGCAATCTTCTATGTCCTGAATTAGATTTCTTCCACACTCATTTGAAACTGCCCTCTCCCACTCTTTTGAGCTTATTAAGTCCTCTGTATAAACCAAGGAGGTCCATGCCTAAAGTAGATGTTGTTTCTCTTCATTTCTAGGGGGTCAAGCATCGATTCAGAGGCAGTATTAATGCTATCAGGGTCAGAGCACCACAGATTGGAGGTAAGGAAGGGCCCTAGCCCCTTGGACTGTATGTGTGATGTGAGAAGTGTGACTCTACAGATAGGGCAGAAAAGTTGTAAGTTTAGGGAGAAAGGGAATTAATGCTGTTTTTAGTGGAAGAACCAAAAACCTAGTTAATGAGTTGGATCAAGACTGAGGAGATTTGGGCTAAAATCTACAGGCTAAGAATAAGACAATGGACGAAGCTCTGTTTCCTTCTCTTCCATACCTGGACCTGTCCTTTCTGTTTGGCTTATTGTGAGGATAAAATGAGAGGTAACAATTTTATTTGTGCTTTTTGGAGGAAAGGTGGAATATAAACTTAATTTACTTAAAATATGTAAAGAAGTCACTGAAAAAAAGGAAAGGGAAATTAAGGAGTGCTGGTTTTGATTCATTTATATTTAGTTATATTTATATTTAGTTACTTTTATATTTAGTTATTTTTATAGCCTACTCTCATCTTGTTAGTGCCTGCTTAGTCCCACTGGATATAGTGACAGGAGTGTCCAAGAAAGTGTGAATTGCAGTCTTTAAGTGAATGGCCACAGTAAATAAAAATGCACACTTAGCTCACCATAAAACAATGGATTATCTATTTGAGTAGATGAAAGTGAAAAGTCAATCTCATTGCCATTATGACTGGGTTTCTGAAAACCAGGGTTACACTTTGGAAGTTGTTGTTTTGTAAATGAGAGGTGGGATTGGCGGGTGGGCATGAGAGAGGCTTCTCTCCAGGCCCATTGCTGTTGGATCGATCATGCTACCATCTCTATGGATGTTGGAGATTGTAAACTCTTTGGCCATGTTCGAGAGGCATTCTCTCCTGACGTTTCGCCTGCATCTATGGCAAGCATCCTCAGAGGTAGTGAGGTCTATTGGAACTAGGAAAATGGGTTTATATATTTGTGGAATGACCAGGGTGGGACAAAGAACTCTTGTCTGCTGGAGCTAGGTGTGAATTTTTCAACTGACCACCTTGATTAGCACTTGATGGCCTGGCAGTGGCTGGGGTAATCTTTTGTTGAGAGGTGATTAGATGTGCCTGATGGTTTCCCCTCTGTTGTTTGCTGTTGTAATTTTAGAGTTTTTTTTAATACTGGTAGCCAGATTTTGTTCATTTTCATGGTTTCCTCCTTTCTGTTGAAATTGTCCACATGTTTGTGGATTTCAATTATTATAGCTCATTGTTTCTAAGTTTAGTTTGAGAATCTATTATTCAATAGGATAAAACATCTTTGTGTTCCCACTGTTTTAATTATGTGTTGCTTCTTTAATAATGTTGTGTATTTATTGTCTGTGTTTTTTAATTGCTTGTATCGATGTTTTATTGCTTTTGTTGTTGTGTTGGGCTCGACCTCATGTAAGCCACACCGAGTCCCTTGGGGAGATGGTAGCGGGGTACAAATAAAGTTAATAAATAATAATAATAATAATAATAATAATAATAATGCGTTCTGCACTGTCTATTATCCCCAGGAACTCAGGCTGAATTCTCTTCCCTTTAAGTCCTTTGTGTGTTTGTGATTTTTTTCCGCCAGTGCTGCTCATTCTTTGCCAGTGGATTTCAGGCTTCTGGCCAGTCTCTGTACAGTTCAGCTTTTGTGTCGAATGCACATAACAGAAAACAAACATTTTTGTTTGGTACTGAATATTGATCTTGTAAGGAGTAGCTCTGGACCCAAATCCTCCCCTTCTTCCTCATAATAGGCAGCTTTGCTGTGTGGGGTGGGCTCTTCTCCACCATCGACTGTGGCCTGGTGAAGATGCGGGGAAAGGAGGATCCTTGGAACTCCATCACCAGCGGAGCACTCACTGGGGCTGTGTTAGCATCTCGGAGTAAGTGATGGTCCTTGACCCTGGAAATGTAGCCCCCAGCCCTTTCCCCTCATGGTTAGTGATCTGAGTCTCAAACAGGGTTTTGTAACAAGTTATGGTTCCTCTCAGGTGGGCCCCTGGCCATGGTTGGGTCAGCCATGATGGGAGGCATCTTGCTTGCTCTGATAGAAGGCGTCGGGATTTTGCTGACGAGGTACACAGCCCAGCAGTTCCAGAATCGTAAGTGTTGGAGAAATGAGATGCAAAGTCAAATAATAGGGAACTTCAGATCCTCCTAAAAAATGTATTTGGATGACTTTTTTGCTGGGCGCAGACATCCTCACAAGAACCTCCTGTCATTTCCTGTTGTCTGTATCCCAAAATGATGATTATCTATATAAATAAAAATGTAATGTTCGTTTGTGGGATTAACAGAACTCAAAAACCACTGGACGAATTGGCACCAAATTTGGACACAATACACCTAACAACCCAATGTATGTCCTTCACTAAAAAAAAATGATTTTGTCATTTGGGAGTTGTAGTTGCTGGGATTTATAGTTCACCTACAATCAAAGAGCATTCTGAACCCACCAATGATGGAATTGAACCAAACTCGGCACACAGTTCTCCCATGACCAACAGAAAATGCTGGAAGGGTTTGGGGGGCAGTGTCCTTTGGTTTTGGAGTTGTAGTTCACCTTCATCCAGAGATCACTGTGGACTCAAACAATGATAGATCTGGACCAAACTTTGCACAAATACTCAGTATGCCCAAATGTGAACACTGGTGGAGTTTGGGGGAAATAACCTTGACACTTGGGAGTTGTAGTTGCTGGGAGTTATAATTCACCTACAATCAAAGAGCATTCTGAACTCCAGCAATGATGGAATTGAACCAGTCTTGGCACACAGCACTCCCATGACCAAAAGAAAATACTGGAAGGGTTTGGTGGGCAGTGTCCTTTGGTTTTGGAATTGTAGTTCACCTACATCCCGAGATCACTGTGGACTCAAACAATGATGGATCTGGACCAAATTCTACATGAATACTCAATATGCCCAAATGTGAATACTGGTAGAGTTTGGGGAAAATAGAATCTTGACATTCAGGAGTTGTGGTTGCTGGGATTTATAGTGCACCTACAATCACAGAGCATTCTGAATCCCACCAACGATAGAATTGGGCCAAACCTCCCACACAAAACCCCCATGTGGGCCACAGCAACGCGTGGCAGGGGATGGCTAGTATGTAGATTAAAATCATAAAATGATGGAGGGGAGCTGAAGGATTAAGTAGCCCAACCTATGTCAAAACGAGAACCCACAAGCAAAGCATCCCTGATCTTAAACCCCCTTAAAACTTATTTTATGTAAAATTAAAATTGTCGTGATTACATTAATTTGTCACAGAGGGAGTGGCTGAGAAATCAGAAGGATCCTGCTGTGGGCCAGTGTTCAGCTTTTCTGCCTTGTTTAATGAAAGGCTATTGCCAGGATTGTATTGCATTTGCAGGTGGGGTTTGGTTCTCTATCGCATGTGGGGCTTAGTTCTCAGTAGCTTGCATTGGGTTTGGTGGATTAAAATATAGAAGAGGAATTCTGGATCTCAGCTGGGAAAAGCAAATTTTATGCCAGTTAACTGATGTTGTCAGGGGCAAAAAGGATATTGTTAGGGACAAAACGTATTCCTTTATATTCCATCCTTCAATATCTTGTAAGGGAAAAGTCACCGTTTCCTCATATGAGCAGAGAGGAATAGAAAGAACTTCCAGAAGTTTCTCTTCTCCCCACCTCATTATGCAATGTGTGCACCTTCCTCATCCAAGCCCCTTCTCAAAGTGACTGGCACTTTGGTAGTGATTTTATTCACACTGCACTGCCTTCCCACAGCGTCTGACACCTTTCCCCCTTTCCTTTTAGAGGTGTAAATTTCAACCTGTTTTTGTAGCAAGAAAATTCAAAAGTTGGGCTTTCTCATATCTTTGTGTGCCAATTGCGCCATACCTTGGGAAGCCTGATCTGGCCACAGTGGTCCACGCTCTTGTTACATCCCGAATAGATTACTGCAACGCGCTCTACCTGGGGTTGCCTTTGAAGACTGTTCGGAAACTTCAGTTAGTCCAGCGGGCAGCAGCTAGATTACTCACTGGAGCGTCATACAGGGGGCTCACCACCCCTCTGCTATGTCAGCTCCACTGGCTGCCGATCCAGTTCCGAGCACAATTCAAAGTGCTGGTCTTGACCTATAAAACCCTATACGGCTCCGGCCCAGCGTACCTGTCCGAACATATCTCCTTCTATGTCCCATCTCGGAGTTTAAGATCTTCTGGGGAGGCCCTGCTCTCGGCCCCACCTTTATCACAAGTGAGACTGGTGAGGACGAGGGACAGGGACTTCTCGGTGGTGGCCCCTCGCCTGTGGAATTCACTCCCCGGGAAAATTAGGTCATCGACATCCCTCCTCTCCTTCAGAAGGAAGTTGAAAACATGGATAAGGGGTAATCTGGCAGACCGACAAGGCAATGACGACCAGAGTTTGGAAAGGATTATGATAATGACAATGATAATGTTGAATGAACTTACGGATTTTAGAACTCGGTGAACGTTGGCCACTAGATTGGCTTTTCTTTTTAGTTGTTATTGTATTATTTGAATGTTTTAACTATTTATAATTGTTATATATTTTTACTTTGTTGAATGTGGCATCGAATTGTGCAGATTGTAAGCCGTCCTGAGTGCCCCCTTGGGGGTTGAGAAGGGCAGGGTAGAAATACTCGAAATAAATAAATAAATAAATTTGTTATTGAGTCAGCCTCATCTAAATCCTCACCACTCTCTTCCCAATAGAAATTGGGAAGAGAGTTCTGATCCCGAATGCCCTGTCTTGAGCTGCCTGACCTCTTTTGCTTGCCACTCACTCACCAGTCTTTCACCTTCACTTTTCAGCCAACCCCTTTGGAGAAGATCCCAGCCAGCTGCCTCCCAAGGACGGCTCACCGCCAACAGGATATCCAGGCTATGGACACTATCAGTGAAGCAGTTGTGAATCGAGAATCTTTCTGAAGTTTGCAGGGACTGAACAGGATTTTCCCCTCGAAACTCCTTGAGACTTTCACCCAGCAGCAGAAATAAGCAAACAAAGCCCGCAATGGATGTGCTTCCTAGAATTTTCCTTAGGAGAGAAGAAGCAGGGGAAAGGATTAGAGGATTTATGAAATATCTACCTCTCTGGGGTTAGGGAACATCTTGGGCCAGTGAAGCGATGCACCTCATGATCAGTTCTATGCAAGAACTTATCCAGCAACGATTCCCAAATAATTTCTCATCTTGTAAGTCCCAGAGTATGGTAATGGTTCATTGACTGTAACAAAGAACTTTTTAAAGGGCTACCGTGTGTGTAGGCATGTTTGTGCTTCTTTCTTCTGAGTACATTGGAGAGTCTTTCCCTTGCGGATTTTCAAAAATCTGTAGGAAGAACAGTCTGTGCCTTTCTTTCCCAGGTCTTGTAGGTAAGTAAGGGCATTAATGCGTGTATCTGGTGACACAGCAAGAACCTGCAGTTCAAAGATATCCATAGCTTCTTGCAGGCCCCTCTTGATTAGAATCCATTATTTCTGAGGTAATTAAGCCAAATGTAGCCCTGCTGCCATATTGTGAAGCCTTTCATATCAGGTGATCAGTACCGCCCCCCCCCCCCCCCCCCGGTCCCGCTTGATTCTGCAAAACGTTGGCAGATCCCAACAAGAACATTAGCTGGCAGGTTGTCCTCCATTTAGAGTAAATATATCTTGCGGCCAAGATTTATTCTGAAAGCACAAGTGCATACATTTGCAGTTATGAAACAAGATGGCTTGAAGGGCTGGAAAGAGAGATTCATATCATCCCGAAGTTTTTATACAGTCTGTTGAAGCAGCCTTCTAGTTGTGGAGGTAGAATGACCCAAAACTGTTGGGTAAACCAGATTGATGTGAGCCCCCACATGTATGCCAGGCTGCCCCCGAGAGGCCCACGCATCCATATCATCAATACAAAGGGCTACAAACATGGGGTATATATGTCCATCATGTACTTCCTTTTTAAAATGCATTTGCTGTGATACATTAAAATGAGAATGCAGACCGGCTTGATATAAAAACCAAACCTGGCACAGCAGGCTTGATTTCCCTGTCCTTTGGGTTGCTTATCTTTCAGGATTATTCAAAAATATTTTGTGTAATGGAATCATAGAGTCGGAACAGACCTCATGGGCCATCCAGTCCAACCCCTTGCCAAGAAGCAGGAATATTGCATTCAAAGCACCCCCGACAGATGGCCATCCAGCCTCTGTTTAAAAGCCTCCAAAGAAGGAGCCTCCACCACACTCCAGGGCAGAGAGTTCCACTGCTGAACGGCTCTCACAGTCAGGAAGTTCTTCCTCATGTTCAGATGGAATCTCCTTTCTTGTAGTTTGAAGCCGTTGTTTCGCGTCCTAGTCTCCAGGGAAGCAGAAAACAAGCTTGCTCCCTCCTCCCTGTAACTTCCTCTCACATATTTAGACATGGCTATCATATCTCCTCTCAGCCTTCTCTTCAGGCTAAACATGTCCAGCTCCTTAAGCCGCTCCTCATAGACCTTGTTCTCCAGATCCTTGATCGTTTGAGTCACCCTCCTCTGGACACATTCCAGCTTGTCAATATCTCTCTTCAATCGTGGTGCCCAGAATTGGACACAATATTCCAGGTGTGTTCTAACCAAGGCGGAATAGAGGGGTAGCATTACTTCCCTAGATCTAGACACTATGCTCCTATTGATGCAGGCCAAAATCCCATTGGCTTTTTTTTGCCGCCACATCACATTGTTGGCTCATGTGTAAAATATTTTGTGTAATACAGGTACGCTAGTGTAAATACAGTTGAGCTCTTTGGCCCCAGTCCTTGAATATCTGCTTAAATGTGAGAATAAGTAATGAGGTGAGAAGGAAAAGAACCATTATGTGCATTGCATCAGGAAGCCTCTGAGCAGATGCCTCAGTGCTGCTAATTTCCTCTCATAAGGCTGGGAGATCTCCTATTCCATTGCCTGTATCCAAGAGTAGCAGTCCTTAAGGAAAAGGCAGCCAAAGGCCAATCTGTAAGCTGGCTTCCAATCTCAAGATTGCTTGATCTTTCCTCTCTCGTAACAACAAGGTAGGTTCTTCCTGTTCCCCACTGTGTTTTTGCCATATCCATGAGCTATAATGAGATTTGTGTTCATTTCCAGCTAATGTCCATAGTAGAGTCTTTGGCCATCATCAAATATCCATCTTCAACACTTAGAAGACATGTGTTTTTTGTAGTTGCAGACTTCATCAGTATCTGGGGTGGATCTGAAAAAGAAACCAGGACAAGTCATTGACTGGGGCGTGGAGTATATTTCATCTCTGTGTCCCAGGAAACTCATTGGCTAAAACCTCTACAGCAGTGGTCCTCAACCTGTGGGTCCCCAGATGTTTTGGCCTTCAACTCCTAGAAATCCTAACAGCTGCTAAACTGGTTGGGATTTCTGGGAGTTGTAGGCCAAAACACCTGGAAACCCGCAGGTTGAGAACCACTGCTCTACAGAGAGGAGAGACCACAGAGAAAGCGAGAAGAAAGGTGTTCACAAATGTGCCTCTTAAGGGCACGAAGAGGATTAGTACCTTGGTAGTTTTGACACGGTTCCCAAGCGAGCACATCCAGCCTGAGTTGTCAGGCAAAGCTTTGCACTCTTCTCCAACCAGGCAGGGCTCCATGTCGCACCACCACTTTCCTGTCACGATCGAGGCTGCAAAGAAGAAAAGCACCGCTGTTTGTTCCTGTAGCTGTTCACTGGCATTTCAAACTTGCTCCATAGTAGGAGTCAATTGGTGGAGGCAAAGTGATATACACTTCTGTAGTGTGGGACTTTGCCTTTAATATGATCTTTAAATGGATGGCTTTCCATGACACCAAGGCATGATGAGCTTATAGGGGAAAAACTAGGCCGTAACTTCTTTCTCTAGCTAACTTGCTCTTTCTGAAGCACTTGAAGCAAGTGATAATATTACAATTTCTCAAGGATATCATATAATGGTTGCTTCACAGCTGTTTTTGCAGCCATTGATCCATCTGTACTGGTCTTTTTTTCTAATCTGACCCCCAAATCTGAATTTTGAAGTGACCATTGCAACTTTTAGATTGCCTCATAGGTTGTTCAACCTCAAAATACATGTCCAAAAACAGAAACTAACCTCCAGCAACTTCCTTTTTAGTTTATTTTGCATTTTGGTGGCTCCAATGGCCACCACATCCTATGTCTAAAAATTGACATGCCGAGTTTGTCACTATTGCCCACTTCTATTTAAATAAAAAAACATAGAGTCAATCTTAGAGGTCTAGAGATGTCAGCAACCCCTCATATAATCTCCTCCTTACATCTTTTTCATGGGAGACGGCAGAAGGCTCAGTTCCCTTCATACCCATTTTTCAGAAGGAATTACAGTTGCCAAGCTTTAAACCACCATTTCTTGAATTCCGTGGCATTATTTTCCTTCCCCAAATCAGGATCCTTTCTTTCGAAAGGAAATTGATATTTCCTTTCACACTCTTTCAGTAGAACCCATTTAAATCCTCTTCCCCTTTGTCCGAAATCCAAGTGTTCCTTGCTTTTCTGCCACTTGTGTTTCACTGTCTCCTTGAAAATGTTGACCATTTCCGCTACCTTGGCAGCCACCTCTCCACCAAAGCCAACATTGACACCAAAATACAATACCGCCTGAGCTCTGCGGGTGCAGCATTTTTCCTAATGAAGCAGAGAGTGTTTGAGGACCGGGACATCCGTAGGGATATCAAGATGCTTGTTTATAAAGCTATTGTCTTCCCAACCCTGCTATATGCCTGTGAAATGTGGGCAGTCTCCAAAGTCACATGCAACTCTTGGAACGATTCCATCAGTGCTGCCTCTGGAAAATCCTGCAAATCTCTTGGGAAGACAAGTGGACAAACGTCAACGTGCTGGAAGAAGCAAAGACCACCAGAATTGAAGTGATGGTCCTCCGCCATCAACTCTGTTGGACCGGCCATGTTGCCGGATGCCCGACCACCGTCTCCCAAAGCAGTTGCTCTACTCCGAACTCAAGAACGGAAAACAGAATGTTGGTGGGCAGGAAAAGAGATTCAAAGATGGGCTCAAAACCAACCTTGAAAACTCTGGCATAGACACTGAGAACTGGGAAGCCCTGGCCCTTGACCACTCCAGCTGGAGGTCAGCTGTGACCAGCAGTGCTGCACAATTTGAAGAGGCACGAATGGAGGGCAAAAGAGAGAAACGTGCCAAGAGGAAGGCACATCAAGCCAACCCCGACTGAGACCTCCTTCCACTTGGAAACCGATGCCCTCACTGTGGGAGAAGATGCAGATCAAGAATAGGGCTCCACAGTGACCTACAGACCCACCAGAACACTGATCGTGGAAGACTATCCTACTTGGACATCGAGGGATCGCCTAAGTAAGTGGATTACAGAAATGAGGCCAGTAGCTCCAGACTTACTATCCACACAAGATGGTTTGCCCCGTGTTGTCCCGGCCACTTTCCCTGGGAGGCAGGAACACTGGATGGTTTGCGACCGTTCTTCAATGTGATTGTGGTTACAACAGCGGCGAACAGCAATCACCTTGCAGGTACCTCCACCTTGAATGGGGACCAAGAAGAGAAGTAAAGTTGGAGAGGAGAGAGTAACTGAAATCCCCCCCTATTTTCTCTTGATGTGGTCATCTGCTTTGCTCAACTACCTCCATGGCCTATAGCTAATACTAAGAACCTAGGTTCTTGCCCAAGTCTCCTACTCTCGTGAAATCGTTCAAGCAAAGTCAGGTTGCTATCCCTGAAACAGCTGAGTGTCACTTGCTTGAAAGTTTCCACTTCCAAAACTGTTTTCTGTGCTTACGCTGAGAATTGCAGCAGAAGCTGTGAGTAAGTCTGCTTCTGTTCACATTCCTTTCAGGGAGGAGATCTCATAGAATCATAGAATCATATAGTTGGAAGAGACCTCGTGACCATCCAGTCCAACCCCCTGCCAAGAAGTAGGAAAATTGCATTCAAAGCACCCCCAACAGATGGCCATCCAGCCTCTGTTTAAAAGCTTCCAAAGAAGGAGCCTCTACCACCTCTGGGGCAGAGAGTTCCACTGCTGAACAGCTCTCACAGTCAGGACGTTCTTCCTAATGTTCAGATGGAATCTCCTTTCTTGTAGTTTGGAAAACAGAAGACTTGAAGCAGCAACAAAGAAGCTTTAGTCCCTATTGATGTATTGAGCTGTAACCGCTCTGAGTCCCCTTCTGGGTTAGAAGGATGGCATATAAATGTCATAAATAAACTCCAAGAAGCCCCACAGAACTTGCATTGGGAGATCGTAGACCCAGTATGGTGTAATGGTCTAGGGATGAATACGACTCCAAATCAAGATTTGATTCCTCAATCAGCCCTAAACTTGTCATCTAAAATATATAAAGAGCCAAAGGCTACCCAGTCCAGAAGTCTGCAAATTACTGGTATATTTGACTATGGCCCCACACAGCTGAATAAAACCCACAATATCTGCTTTGAACTGGAATATATGACAATGTGGACTCAGATATCTAACCCAGTTAAGGGCAGATTTTGTGGGATTTTCTGCCTCAATGTATGGCTGTGTGGAAGGGCCCTAAGTGTGCACATTTTTTGGAGCTGTTTAGTAAGCAAAACACTAGTGTCATATTACCATTTCTTAACACGAATGGACTACTTTAGTTTTTGCTCATACAACACAATTGTACCACCGTATTTGTCATGGCAACATCCTAAGGACTCCTAGGGTTTGGAGTGTAGTGAAGCACCAGAATTTTCTGGCACAAAATTCCAAATGTCTCACCGAATTGCAATTCTCAGAAATCTGTGGGTTGCCAATTATCAAGTTGTTATAATGATGTAATGTGAAGTAGACTTGAAACCTAAATTCAACTTGGGTTGTTGTAGGTTTTTTCGGGCTATATGGCCATGGTCTAGAGGCATTCTCTCCTGACGTTTCGCCTGCATCTATGGCAAGCATCCTCAGAGGTAGTGAGGTCTGTTGGAACTAGGAAAAAGGGTTTATATATCTGTGGAATGACCAGGGACAAAGGACTCTTGTCTGCTGGAGCTAGGTGTGAATGTTTCAACTGACCACCACGATTAGCATATAATGGCCTGACAGTGCCTGGAGCAAACTTTTGTTGAGAGGTGATTAGATGTCCTTGTTTGTTTCCTCTCTGTTGTGCTGTTGTAATTTTAGAGTTTTTTTTAATACTGGTAGCCAGATTTTGTTCATTTTCATAGTTTCCTCCTTTCTGTTGAAGTTGTCCACATGCTTGTGGATTTCAATGGCCATCAAATGCTAATTAAGGTGGTCAGTTGAAACATTCACACCTAGCTCCAGCAGACAAGAGTCCTTTGTCCCACCCTGGTCATTTCACAGATATACAAACCCTTTTTCCTAGTTCCAACAGACCTCACTATCTCTTAGGATGCTTGCCATAGATGCAGGCGAAATGTCAGGAGAGAATGCCTCTAGGCCATGGCCATATAGGCCGAAAAAACCTACAACAACCCAGTGATTCCGGCCATGAAAGCCTTCGACAATTCATTAAATTGAACTTCCTTATATCTTTCTAAATCCAGCTTTCTTACATTTTGCTTGCTTGCCCTCAAAACTCCACAAAGAGCAACTCACTGATTACTGGGATTTGATCCCCTGCAGTCTGGTACCAGTACTGTTCATGATGGTGCTGTTGACTGTGAATGGGGACCTGCTGAGCACCGATACCCTGGCACAGCAGAGTGACACAAAAAACCCAGATTATCAGAGCAGATTGGCACATTGTGATAGATCTGCAGAGGAAAACACAAAAGAAGGAAAAACACATCAAGGAGAGAAGATAAAAACAAAGAACACCTCGTATCTTTATTTCTTGTAGAACTTCTTGAATTAATTTTCTTTGACCAGTTTTTTTTTTTGGGGAGGTTGGATATAAGGTTTTCCTCAATTTTATTCAGAAGGGAAACAACCCCTTGTAACCTCTGATATATAATTTTCCTGAGTTTTTGAATTAGTTCTAAAGAAAAGTTGGTAGGACTCATGGGACTCATGGGCTCTCAGTGCCACATCCTCCATTTTCCAAAAGTGCAGTGGATGACAGTATAGTACAGGCTGAATATCCCTTATCTGAAATAATTAGGACTAGAAGTATTTTCTCCAGCAAAGGATCACCGCCTTGTCGGGGCGCTGGAGCTTGAGCACCTCAATGATGTCATGAGCGAAACAGTGAAGGGCCACTTCAGAAAAACATCTATTTCTGCTTCATTGACTATTCTAAAGCCTTTGACTGTGTGGATCATAATAAATTGTGGCAAGTTCTTGGTGGGATGGGCATCCCAAGCCACCTTGTCTCTCTCCTGAGGAATCTGTACAAGGACCAAGTAGCAACAGTCAGAACTGACCACGGAACAACAGACTGGTTCAAGATTGGGAAAGGCGTACGGCAAGGCTGCATACTCTCACCCAACCTTTTTAACTTGTATGCAGAACACATCATGCGATGTGCGGGGCTGGATGAATGCAAAGCTGGGGTGAAAATTGCTGGAAGAAACATTAACAACCTCAGATATGCAGATGACACCACTCTGATGGCCGAAAGCGAGGAGGAGCTGAGGAGCCTTCTAATCAAGGTGAAAGAAGAAAGCGCAAAAGCCGGGTTGCAGCTAAACGTAAAAAAAACCAAGATTATGGCAACAAGAATGATTGACAACTGGAAAATAGAGGGAGAAAACGTGGAGGCCGTGACAGACTTTGTATTTCTAGGTGCAAAGATTACTGCAGATGCAGACTGTAGCCAGGAAATCAGAAGACGCTTACTTCTTGGGAGGATAGCAATGTCCAGTCTCGATAAAATAGTAAAGAATAGAGATATCAGACTGGCAACAAAGATCCGCCTAGTCAAAGCCATGGTATTCCCTGTAGTCACCTATGGATGTGAGAGCTGGACCTTAGGGAAGGCTGAGCGAAGGAAGATAGATGCTTTTGAACTGTGGTGTTGGAGGAAAGTTCTGAGAGTGCCTTGGACTGCGAGAAGATCCAACCAGTCCATCCTCCAGGAAATAAAGCCCGACTGCTCACTGGAGGGAAAGATACTAGAGACAAAGTTGAAGTACTTTGGCCACATCATGAGGAGACAGGAAAGCCTAGAGAAGACAATTATGCTGGGGAAAGTGGAAGGCAAAAGGAAGAGGGGCCGACCAAGGGTAAGATGGATGGATGGCATCCTTGAAGTGACTGGACTGACCTTGAGGGAGCTGGGGGTGGTAACGGCCGACAGGGAGCTCTGGCGTAGGCTGGTCCATGAGGTCACGAAGAGTCGGAGACGACTGAACGAATGAACAGAAGTATTTTGGATTTTTTTGTGTGCATATATGCACATAATGAGATATCTTGGAAATGGGGCCCTAAGTTTAAACAAAAAAATATTTGGTGTTCCATGCACACCATTGTACATAGCCTGAAGAAAACTCCATATATAATATCTTTTAAAAATGTGCATGAAACAAAATCTGTGTACCATCTCAACTAACACAACAACAAAAAAATGTCAACTAACCATATCGACAATTTTGTTTTGGATTCGAACCGGGGAGAGCATGGATGAGCTCCCTCTATCAGCTCCAGCTCCTCATGCGGGGACATGAGAGAAGCCTCCCACAAGGATGGTAAAACATCAAAAACATCCAGGCGTCCCCTGGGCAACGTCCTTGCAGACGGCCAATTCTCTTGCAGTTTCTCAAGTCACTCCTGAGACGACAAAACAAAAAACTGGAAATGCCTTTAAGGTATCTCATTCAAATTCAAAGAGGGATTCCAAGTCATCAAGCGCCCATTTACAAACAATAAACTCCCTTAGACTGTATATAAATCTCCTTGATGATCTGTAATTTAGTGTGGATAGCTCTTCAACCAATTCATGTTGCAAGTATTATCTACCATTCTTGAGTCTGTACATGCTGTGACCCGTTCAGAAAGTGGAGATGATCCCCTCCAGAACTATCAGGCTGGTCCTTCACTGTTAGGTGGCAATATGTTGCTTAGGACACGAAGTCTTAACGGCTTACATTTCTTGGTGGCTGTGAGTTTTCCGAGCTGTTTGGCCATGATCCAGAAGCATTCCTGACGTTTCATCCCCATCTATGGCAGGCATCCATAGAAAACCAAATGAGGTTTATATATCTTTGGAATATCCAGGGTGGGAGAAAAAACTCTTGTCTGTTAGAAGCAAGTGTGAATGTTGCAATTGGCTACCTTGATTAGCATTAGATAGCCTTGCAGCTTCAAAGCCTGGCTGCTTCCTGCCTGGGGGAATCCTTTTTTGGGAGGTGTTAGCTGATCTTGAGGATGCCTGCCATAGATGTGGGTGAAACATCAGGAGAGAATGCTTCTGGAACAAAACTCACAGCAACCCAGTGATTCCAGCCATGAAAGCCTTTGACTTACATTTCATTACCACATCCTTCACAAATCCAGGGCCACTTTCCTGCCATGATGAAGTCAAAAACCCTGGAGAAATCTTCCATCTGCTTAGGCGCAGAAATATAGGGAGTTGTGTTATGGAAACTCATAAATCTTCCCCGATAATGACATTTGCCTTTTTGAGAAAGACTGCACACATGCATGTCTGCCAGGTAGCATATGACAAGCACATCTGCAGTATAAAAAATATGCACATATGTTGATTACAAGAGTTTTTACTGGTTCTGCATGCCTACCATATGCCCAGGTATTTATCCCATGAGGCAATGTGGGTTTGATATTTTTACACACATCTTAAAAAATTAAAATTCCCAGGCTTGCTATTGTTTTTCAGGGTTTAGGCCCATTCCAGAAATGAAATACAAATGGAGATGCCTTCAGCATGTGCTCTCTCCTTCCCCCGTGCCTGTAGGTTTGCAGAACACCAAGAGGATCATGCTGTTACTCAACACATGAGGGACAGATTTAGAAAGACCTCTTTGTGCTTATTTGGTATGGATTATGAAATGTACTTGAGATGTCACATTTTTTTCAGAAGTTTTCAGAGTGGCAGGACATGAGTCTTCCGTTCTCTGCCATGGCACGTCAGAGCAGACCTGGTGGCGGACACTGCGGATCGTCGGATCATCTCTTGAACTTACACCAGTTGGAAGCGTTTTGGATTTCCTCTGAATTTAGCCTGTGATGTCAAAAGAGGGAGCTCAGTTGCTGGGCAAATTTAAATCAGCACCTAGGCTTTTGCAGCTTATCAGGCAGAGGGCTGTTCTAGGATATGTATGTATGTATGTATGTATTTATTTATTTATTTATTTAACTTGTATACCGCTACTCCCAGTTTGGCTTGGAGCTGTTTACAGATCATATTAAAACAATACAATTTGCTTTAAAAATAACCATAACAATAACAATAGGCAGCGAGAACAGGCATAGCCCGGGTTGCTCACCCATCAAAAGCTTGCCGGAAAAGAAAAAAATTACAGGTTTTCCGAAAAGCAAGTAGGTCTCAGATGGTTCGAGTTTCGACCGGGAAGGCATTCTATAAATAAGGGGCTACGATCGAGAAGGCTCTATACCTAGTAGATGACAAATGATAGGTCCGGATGTTAGAGACTGCAAGCAGATTTTGGTCTTCAGACCGGAGTAATCTCTGGGGTTGGTAGGGGGATAAGTGGGCCCTCAGGTACGCTGTCCCCAGACCATATAAGGCAGTGTTTCTCAACTTTCCTAATGCTGTGATCCCTTAATACAGTTCCTTATGTTGTGGTGACCCACAACCATAAAAATTATTTTCGTTGCTGCTTCATAACTGTAATTTTGCTACTGTTATGAATCATAATGTATATATATGCAGGATGTATTTTCATTCACTGGACCAAATTTGTCACAAACACCTGATCCACCCAAATTTGAATACTGGTAGGGTTGGGAGGGATTGATTTTGTCATTTGGGAGTTGTAGTTGCTGGGATTTATAGTTCACTTACAATCAAAGAGCATTCTGAAGTCCACTAATGATGGAATTGAACCACCTTGGCACACAGAACTTCCATGACCAACAGAAAATACTGGAAGGATTTGGTGGGCATTGACCTTGAGTTTAGGAGTTGTAGTTCACCTACATCCAGAGGGCACTGTGGACTCAGACAATGATGGATTTGGACCAAATTTAGCATGGATACCCAACATGCCCAAATGTGAACACTAGTGGAGTTTGGGGGAAACAGACCTTGACATTTGGGAGTTGTAGTTGCTGGGATTTATAGTTCACCTACAATCAAAGAGCATTCTGAACCCCACCAATAATAGAATTGGGCCGAACTTCCCACAGAGAACCCCTATGACCAACGGAAAATACTGTGTTTTCTGATGGTCTTTGGTGACCCCTCTGACACCCCCTCGCGACCCCTCCAGGGGTCCCGACCCCCAGGTTGAGAAACGCTGCTCTATGCCTAGTAGATGACAAATGACAGGTCCGGATGTTAGGGACTTCAAGCAGATTTTGGTCTTCAGACCGGAGTAATCTCTGGGGTTGGTAGGGGGATAAGCAGGCCCTCAGGTATGCCGGCCCCAGACCCTATAAGGCCTTAAAGGTTAGTACTAGCACCTTGAAAGTGATCCGGTGCTCAATCGGTAGCCAGTGCAGCTGTTGGAGAATTGGGGTAATACGACACCTCGCTGGCACCCCGGCAAGAAGACAAGCTGCCTCATTTTGCACCAGCTTCAGTTTCCGGATCACTGACAAAGGAAGGCCAATGTAGAGGGCGTTACAGTAGTCAAGCCTCGAGATGACTGTCGCCTGGATCACCGTAGCCAGG